GTGGTAACGATCAGAGACATGCGAATTTGAAAACTGTTAGTTGGTAGTAACAATCCGACAAATGAAACTCTATCAGCTTTTGATAGTGATATTAATATCTATGTTTGTTCAAAATAACATTTGCATTTCTACTTCGTACCCTCTAGGTAGTAATTCACCGCAAAGAAAAAAATTATTGGATAGAAGTCATGTGATACTCTGAACAATTGCTCAGAGTGTCATGTAGTTTCACGTCCAATCCAGTATTTGCTGCGGAGGATAAAATTAGTGGACAACTGTTGACTGCGGACCCATCAGAAATGCGTAGTAAATGCTCTTCCGACTTTATTCCTCAAAAAGGCCATTCAACGTTTCTAACACATGTCGAATATAGTTGTGCTCCTAGTCATAACAAGTGTTATAGAAGATGGTTCACGAGGACATGGCCTGATAATGTTATTGTTTCAAATGAGTCATCGCTAGTTATTCTTTGAAAATTTGAGATTTTGTAATTCCTAACTAAGAGACTGTGACCTTAGATTACGAACTCATTATATGATAATATTTGTGTTACAGTCTAGTCCCTTCCAAAAGACTGAGCTCCTCTCAGTTGCACTGATTTTTTCTTTGTAATGTTTTCATACGTAGCAAAAATCTATTCCCGTCATTTCTCACTCTATCGTATACTCAATATAAACGTCAACACTCAGATCATCCCAATCATTGATGTTATGCTTATGTAGCATCTCTGTTCTTCAAGGATTATGAAAATGCGCAGGATGTGTTTTGTTATAACATCTAAGGAAAGAGTATGATTGGGAGTTTAATAATTCTGTGGTTTCTTATATCAACAAATGTGAATAAGATAATGCAGATAGATTCTTTTGGTCATTTGAGAAACAACACTAAGCGAAGCTGTAAATGAATCCTACTTGTATCCATAGAATTACGACAGAGAATAATGAATGTTTACCTCATGCAATAGTTTATGTGTTGTTTTCGTTTCCAATCATCTTTCTTTTAAGCTAAAATCAGCCCAATCCTACTGGAATATTCAACAATCACAAATTGATAACACATGGAACAATGATCTTCTCGTGTTGATGAGGGAAAATATTTAGTCCGTAGGACCTTTAAAGAAATGAAATTGTCGTTTGTAGAACAGATAGATAATTGATTGAGAAGTAAATTTTAATGATCAGTTGTTAATTATATCATAAAGGAGAGCATTCGCATATAGGCGCACATTGTTATCGTTCTTTCTTCCGATAAGAGAGATGCTTCGTGATGGCGATACATTACCTATAATGGAATGGACGGAATCTAACAAACAAGTGTTAATTAGTTTATCTAGCTGCGAATATTTTTTCTCATGATATCACACAATCTGCACGAGACGTATCTGGTCTGTTGAACTGATGCGAACAAAAATTCTCCCATTATTACGAACACCATTATGAGATAATAAAGTAAGTGATCCTAGAAAATGAGAATACCAATAACACGAGCAGCCCATATGTTGATTCATCCAGACTATGATCCTTATACTAGTTCTCTACAAAAGAATCTTATTCTCGTTCCTGTCTTTGTCCCATCAATCATGACAACATTCTCGTTCTCATTCTTGTTATTCCAATACTCGTTTTCGTATTTCACACTTTTGTTTTTCGAACACAAGTGTTGACACTTTATACTATAATGTGACTCGCAATTACATTTAAAGTTTTCTAGTTAGCTTTTTCATCATTTTCGATTTGTGTGGGATAAATAACATCACAAGATCAACTTTATTAAAAAATGAAAAATAAAGATAAATGCCTTACATAAAGGATACATTACTATAGTCATACAAAGTGTCTATAATCTACTTCACATCTTTTATATAGCAACCTCGTGCTATTAGCTGAGCTGTTTTGGGCTTTGCCCTAAAAAAATGAGGAATAGCATTTCATAGAACAGAAACGAGATAATTGTCCCTTCTTATTCAGACTATTGTATTAACTAAGGTAATCTTTACTATTTGTTCTTTTTGTTGACTTTCTACAAATTCACACAACTACTCTTATAACACACTATCTTAACTACAATAATCTGATGATAACCTGAATAGTCTTATTTAGATAACTATTATGCATATTTTCATTCCTATCAAAGTAACGAAAAATCTCTTCCAGCTGGTCCATTCTCTTTGTGCGAATCGTATTTGTAGATTTTTGAGTTCTTCAATAATTTGGTAAACTTTTATGTTCTCGTGAGTAAGCTTATCTAAAGCAAAATGATTGGAAGGCAATTGCAATTTTTTTCCAACCATGAATTTAAGCGAGTTCACGAGTTCCTCACATGAAATTTTTATTTGAAATATAGGAACGATGCAGTTAAGATATATGTGTGGAATAATTTTGGTACTCGATGATATAACACAATCAGTATGAGAACTATGTTAGGCTGAGATACCTGATAATTTTATTTAGAGCGATTAGAACAAATATACTCTAATGTCGTGCCCAAAGAACATAACTGAAAGCACACACTATTGCTACGAATATGACATTTGCTACCACCTACCTGAAACAAATACGTGAATATGTTTCTTAGTGATTTCCTCCACTTTCCAATAATCTCCTATGTCCATAATCGCAAGTAATTCATCATTTTCTTGGAGACTAAATTTCTGAATCTCGTCATCTCTATCATACGGGATAGAAATTTTCCACAATTTTAAATTTCCAGCATTTTTTTTCATTTCTAATCAATTGCTTAAGCCTGCCCACTGTTTCTTCAGTACCTATTTTAATAGGAAACGTATGTCTAGAAGCTGGGGTTTGTCCTTTAAAAATGCAGTTTAATGTAACAACCTTTTCCATTCTGTACATAAGCAATCCCATACAAATTTTTGAATTTCTGAGAAGGCTGACGGTGCTAAACTGCTCTCTTTTTTTAAATAGTCCTGACTTTGATAGGACTTTCTGGCTAGAATAATTTCGTTGTAGCAAAAAAAATTCTGGAAACTCTTTTAAGGGATAGGTTAATAACCGTGGTTATATTATGGATAAGGAAAGCACAAACAAGAAAAATGTTTGTCCTTCAGATCATTTTCTATTTAAGTAACCGATGATATTCATCCGCAGTAAACTACTAAAGTACATATTTACTTTATGCGGCTAAAAATCTTCAATTATAGAGGTGCACAGTGTACAAAAAAAAGATTAGCAGTTATAAACTCGCCGCTCAAAATTTTATTTCTGTTGTCGAATATCTTGTTCTCAATTTTTGTCATATTCTAATATGTTCCACCAGTATTTAACCTATATGTTTCCATACAAGTTCACGAGAGAAGTCTTAAACTCTAGGAAGCGCTTCGCTAAGTGTAAAGGACTTTTTTATATTAAATTATTTATAGTAAGAAAACGCAGGAGAATATTTCTAGCTCCGTTAATATCTCAATCCAGGATAAATGGGTATTCTTCGCACTTAAAAGTCTTCGATCCACCAGCTTGTCAATAACTAATCTACAGGAGCCACATGTTTTTCTCGTATAATCCTCAGAACATATTATGACTTTACAGTGAGATATTCTCTTACATGAGTGTCTTGCTGCTCAACCACGCTTTTTATCCATTAACTTATCATACTGATTTGCTATTTACTTACTGTATTACAAATGAAAATGTCAACAAAAAATCCAGTTATTGATTAATTTACGTATATATTATTCTTTAGAAATGAAGTTTCCAATTCTCCAGTTTTAGATGGAATCTAGGTCTTGTCGTGTTTTGGGTCTGAAATTCAGGGAGAAATACTATCCTGTGATTACTACATAACCACTTCGCAAGTTTCCTATGGCAATCGTCTACTAAGTTTCGTATTCTTTTCTGAATGCGAAGCATACATCATTTCAATTTATACTGAAAAACGTTTAATTTATTCAATGAAGAGTGTCCTTATTAATTTGTATTTTATCGTAAGCATGACATAGACGATAAATTCTTCCAATGTCTCCATTACCACATGATGCGGTATAACCATCTGGTAAGTAACAAGTCACTTCTTTGAAGGTCCTACAGACTAAAAGTCCTAACACCTGGATCAAGGGAAAGGAATTTTATTCGCATCTTTCTTTCTGATATTTGTTTGTTTACTAGTTTTTTCGTTTTTATTAACGAACGAGTTGATTCTCTCTATTAGTGTGCTATGTAGTTGATTGTTCTGTTGCTGCAGTGTATGAACACTGGGTATCACATTTTTATTATAACCGCTCTACTTCGTACCCTATGGGTAGGCGACTATAGATTTTTTCGAGGAACGAGGAAATATCGACAATTATTATGCTTATATCCAACCTGAGTTTTTGCTCACGAAGGGAATTACGCAAACTACTCTGGATAAAAATATGTTACAATGTTACATCAGTAATGAGTATCCGGATAGTAGACCATAGTCAACTTTGCACATGCTTTGTTCCCAATGGCAACACCAAATTATGGGCATGTTTAAGTTCATCGAAGCATTGCCCTTCATGCATCATGTTCTACATATTCTTTTTTTTATTGTAACGAGCAATCTCCTTCATTATAGTTCTAATAGAATTATCTTTCGAGTTACCATCAGTCGGAACCCCCGAAGAATACATTAATATACAGAATACCTGTTAATTTTTTACCCAGAGGGTACGAAGTAGATAACGAACACAACATTTTGATGATTAATCGCAATTAATTATTTCTTGGCACAGATCATGATAGTATAAGGATAAAAAAAAGTTAATATCGGTCTATCTTATGTCCATTATTGTTTAAAATCCCTATTTATAAACCGGAATATTACCTGAAGGGCGCTAAAACATACTTTATTGTTAGAGGATCAACATAAGTCTTAGTTTGCTATCGCAATGGAACAACCAAACTTGGTTAGTGTTTAGCAAATACTTGACGATAGCAACCGTGATCGTGGGAGAATGTCAAATTGAAAAAATGAATATATACATAAACGATATAGTTTACCGTTCTAGAGAAACAAAAAATATGGGTTCTTTTGGCGATAGAGTTGACAAAATTATGGAAGAATTTCATCAACCCATGGAACTAAAAGCCGTTGTCGATTTCTTACAAGAAAAAAAGAAACTCTTGAGTATTGATACTAATGATATTGAGAAGTTTCAAGAGATTCCAGGTCCGAACTTCTTTAATTTGACTAAGAAAGAGATTTCTCATAAATCGGGACAGTTTAATCTGAAATATGCGCAAGCAGATAATATTTTGAACGTTGTTGATGCACTCAATTTAATTCGTGAAGCTGAAAATAAACTCAAAAAGGTAGAAATGTCTGTCGAGTCTGCGGTTAAACTGATTAAGAATCTTGAGTCAGAACAAACAATCTCAGGTGAGAAACGTCTAGCAATGTTATTTGATTCATTGCGATGATCATCCACTGTTCTTATAAATTACTCTTCACAGGTGAAACATTTTTATGTAATCGTCTTGGGAAAACTCATATAGGCGAGGAAGGGACTCATTGGGGCTTCAGGGAGAAAGTGGCTTTATTGGAAGCTGTATTTGAACGGCATTTGCCCGAAAAGTTGTTTTGGCCTGACATAATGCAACGGTTTAAAGAGCTCACTGATTCTGATAGAACAGAAGCCGCTTGCAGACAGCAATGGAAAAATATTGGGATAGATAACGTATATAATAGAATCATCCCGGAAAAAGAAAGACTACTTGAATGGCTAGCAAAAAAATGAAACCACAATGTGATTCCATCATTTTTTTGATAGTTATTAACTTATATACTTAGCTAGTTTAATTATCAAGTATTTATTAAATATAATCTTTCGGGTATAGTTGGGTCCCATCTGCACAATTCCTATTATCGAAGAAACAGGAGGACATAGTATTTGATTGCAGGAGAAAGCAGAATTTTTAGTAATCGAAACAAGAGACATAATCTTAGATTGCAGCAAGACAACAGAGAACATGCATGTTCGATAGTGGAAAAAAAGTAATTCGATCATAGATATGTAGAGCGCATCCCTTGGATATAGGCAATATTTGAATTTGGGGATCAACCATGCAATCTGGATACCTACGAAGTATAGTTGTTCTTTTTCCTGTATGTATCCCTTTCTGATTTTTAGTTCGATATTGTTTTATTATATACTAATTGTTATCTATTATGAAAATATTCATTTACCTGTTATCGTAATATTTATCGACCACAACAAATATTTCTTCGTTCATCAGAAATTGTTAACAATAATTCTAAGAATTGGATTGGTGGGTTCTGGGTAACAAACAGTCACTTTCAACAAATGTAAATGTATCCCTGTATTTTTTGTAATATTTTTTAAGCGTATGACTTCACTCACGTATTATAAATAAAAATTAACACTTGGAATCATTACCAATAATTATTCTTATTCAGTTAATATATGGTAACATTTTTATTTCACAAGTAAAAGTTTTTTCGCATAAATCGATGTACCTCATGTTGCGAAAATAATTTTAATGACCACGAATAAAATAGATTGATTAAAAGTACATTTGAAGAAATTGATATCTCGTACTCTTCGATAAATCTCCAAATGACACAATTACTAACATGAAAATCTACTATAACTTTCGAAAATATAAATGTACCTATTCATTTACATACCTTTAAGGTAGTAATAAGTCATCTACGCACACATCACATCCATATTCTTTGGAATGGTAAAATTGTATAAGAAAAAAATCTATTTATATATAACGGATATGATTCATATTTTTCAGTTTAATATCAGTATAATTAAATTCGCATATTTTTTATATAATTCTTGTGCATAAACTATTCTAATTTGTAAAATTACTAAATAATAAATTGTGCAATACAGCCTAACTTACAATTATACATAAATCAGTTTTTTACATTAATTTTTTTTATTCTTTTTCTTTTTTTGCTTCTTTTTTCTACTTCCTTTCGATTCTTCTCCCCTTAATAATGACTTGATAGATTCTTTAGTTACAATCACAATCTCACACGATTTTATCCATTCTTCAGCTTCGCGTTCAGCTTCGTCTAGTGGTACCAATTCACATGTATGCTCATTAACGTAACGAAGATTTTCCTGATGAAAAAGATAATTCATTAGGGCATCTTTCATGTTGTGTCCTACAAGCATAATACTATTTTCCATACGGGACCATATGTATACAACTCCATCATGATCTTTTATCCAGAAAACTAAATCATTATATGAAAGTACGGGATATGCACCAATAATAGCGTATTTTTTAGAGAATTTATCAATCTCATAAACAGACAAGCCATTGGTGTTTGTCTCGTGAAAGGAATGATCCCGTTTCAATAGATTAAGGAGTACGTCTTCAGAGTCCTGTGTTTCATAATCAGGAGACAGTTCCCGCAAGGGGGTATCATTTCTTGTGATTCTGTATTGATTACACGAGATCTGATCGCTAGATCGCGTCTCCAGGACACTAGATGGGACAACGCGTTCGTCTCTGCGCAATTCCCGAATTGCCACCGTTCTTGATTTGGTATCAAATTCATGTTCCCGTCTCGGGGAAAGAGACGATTGTATCTCATGTCGAAATCCTGTCGTGACCTTATTAAATTTCTTCTGGCATTCCTGGTCCCTATCAATGTTGTCCCGAACGAGATCTTCAAGATTTTTTGTCGTTTTGACTTCCAGGCTACACATATTGCTGTCGGTATGTAGTCCTCTTCTTCGTCTGTTTCTAAAATCAATATCCACATCGCGAGTTGGTTCAAATGTTGAAACAGCCATTCTATTTGCTGATCCAGAAATATTAATGATCTCGGAGGCTGGCCGATATTTATGGAATAAAAAAGTGCGAGACCGTCCACAAATGTACTCGTCGCAAGCGTCGCTCCATCTATCTCTATTCCCAGGCATCGCGTTTGCCCGTTCTGCTGTCTTAGAATCATTTGCCGGTTGTTTCTGGAGTATCAAATAAAATTTAATGCGGGCATTTGCTTAAAATAATATTTGACATACTTGTAAGGTTCCAGAAACATTTGGTATATAAGTGTTGACAAATCGCTCGTCCTTGACAATATCTCTAGATATCTCCATAGCTAATACAACTTCTTTGTCAGATTGTTTTTTTAAAAAAATAACAACTTAGTGACTCACCTCTTCTGGAAAGAGCTAAAGTAGGATTGACACGTATTTATGTGTGTACACGTATACACGTATACACGTGATGTTGGGGTGTGCGGTCAACTGATTAAATCAAAACTATATGTGGTCACACTGATTTTCAACTAGTGAATGATTTTTGGCAAAAATTTGATCGACATTATAGCTTTATAATACTATATATAAATTAACTATAAAAAAATAAGCTATTTTTTTTAGATGCCCAGTTCGAATTTCTTTCTTTCTCCAAATTTTTTAAATATAATCCATACCACAGCTACAAAGTTACGACATTTTTATTTACATCAACCAGCCAGTTAAAAAAAGATACCAATTTAAATCTTAAAAATTTCCAAACAATTATATCAGATGTAAGTTTTTCATATCAAATGTAAGGAATAGTCTCGTAACTTTGTTTGTATGGATTTAATATTGACTTTTACAAAATTTCGCCTTAAAATATTGAGCCGTTAGAGCTGTGCATCTAATTAAAGTTTGGAAAATATCAATGGGTATGTACAAGTCATATAAACGTGAATTACTATTGCATAACAATGATTTTCTTGAGGAGTTTGAACAATTCTGTAGTTACAAAGATCCAAAGTTATATAGATTTCCTAATCTTTATGATTTCGTTAAAAGCTATATTTATTTCATTGTTATTCATCAACAGCAAGTGGAAGGTCTTTTTAACAAATTGGACTTAAAGACGCACCCAAATATGTCACCATCGGTAAAACAATCAAAGCTTCGTCTATCATCAGACAAAATCACAAAAGAAAACTTGACTGATGGGTTAAAAGAAATGCGAAAACAAAGAACTAAACAAAGGACTTCACTTCAAGAAGTTCAATTTGGTCTAATATTGCGTCAACACTTTTTAAACAGTTTATTGAATAATGGTACCATATATAGTTTTGATTTGATTAATTGACCGCACACCCTAACGTGATGTTACTGATTACAATTATGAGGCGATAATTACGTAATATATGTGACAAATATATCTGTGACAAATAAACCTTTTAATACTAAATTTTTTCTAAGTTTCTGGAATAAATAGTAAAAACGAAGAAAAGATGGGGTGTGACTCAGGTGACAATTACTGGTGGTGAAATCACCGGCGGTGATTTATAGTTATTTTCATTAGTTGAATTATTTTATTATTACTTACTAATTATATAAAAATAAACCTAGCAGTTTTATACAAACGCAGGTGAACAATTGAGTAAGAAAAAGCTACCTAAGAGGTGGCGTCATAATAGTATACAGTAGTTTATTCCCTAAGGGCCATCCGGGTACCAAGTGACACCACAGACATAACCGTCACCTTGTGTATAAGATCGCGCCTAGGATAATTTTTTTATTTTTTTGGGGGATCGACAAGAAAACCTGGGTGAAAAAATGAAACAATTTTTAAATGTTCCGAATGTAAATTATTTCAAAAAAAAAAAAAATACTAGAATTTTCTCATTAAGGTTCTTCCAAAGAAATTTTTTTTTATTGGATTTCCATCGAAATCTTTTTCTTGAAAATTTGATCTATAATTAACTACCAATAAATATTAATTTATTGTTTCTAATTTTAATACTTTGCTCAGTTATAACTATTCGAGTTCGGTGATTTCAAACTGATTATTATAACTATAAATTCTTTATCGGTAACGGTAACAACAACATAAACACTTAAAATAAAAGTACTTTTTATTGCACTATTTTAGAATTTTTCTTTGACATGATATTTTTTTCTCTTAAAATAAATGAGAACAAAGACTGTATATATACTGTATCTCTAACAAAATTGTAGGTAGCTGCGTAATTTTCACAAAAATTTTGTATTTAAATAACCTTCCGACATGGCATCTTCGCAAATCGCAATTCAATGAACCATCCAAAGATACAGTGACCATGTCATCTATAGATACAACTTATTATTCTTTATTCATAATATTCAGCATTTCTCAGAAATATAAATTTTCACTGCTGTTTTGATAAAGGGACAATTAAAGTCTTCGACAAGCGATTCACTGTATATATACGAGGAATGTCATATCGTTATTTTATAGAATAAATAATGCATAAAGTAGGAAAATCTTCTTGAGGTAGGTAATAAGGAAATTGTGGCTACGACATTTTAATAACTATCTTTTTTCAGTAGCTCTATTTTATGGTACAGACAAACGCTAAACCTAAGAAGTTTTCTATTTCATTGTATTACTCACCTTTCTTTTATTTTTTTAAAAAAAAATGCTAAACCCGGTCTTTTATTGAAAAAAAAAGACAATAATTTACAAGCTTTTGAAACTTCATTTTTACCAATGTAAAAAAGATCGAGACAATAAAAATAACCAATATAATTAACAGATTTGGTGTCCTTTTGTTCTATTATCGAAGAAGATTATGAAGTGTTTCAATTAATAAGAAATTATAATATACTGTATATCACATATAATTATTATAATTCTAAGTGTTTATTCTTAAAACTATTTAATTCATATTCGATATCTGTCAGGATGGGCAGGATAAAAGCCAAGGTCCCAGAAAAATTTTACAAAAAAAATTTATAGATCGAACATCCCCAAAAAGCAATTTCTTGTCTCCTCCCCAAAGAAATACGTCATTCACTTTCATTGGAGGCGTTGGTTTGACCAAGTGAATCAGAGATGCAATGGTATTAAAAATAATTGTAAGATATTTCAGAATATGTTGAATATGAAATTTGACGATAATAAGGATAATGGTGAAGATTCGGAAGACCCCTGGTGAACTTCACCATAACGTTTGTGTAATTTAGGCAAATTTAGAGGATAATGATGAAAATGTAGTAATTGTTTCTACTGATGAAGATATAAATGGGAAATTGGAGGAAGCATTTAAATTATATAATTTGAAGTTTAATTTATTGGTATATTTTATAGTTGAGTTTACGTCAAAATTTTATTTATAGTTTTCGCAATTATTATAACTATTGGCGCGCTAAAAACACCGTTTATTAGTATGATTCAAACTTTCGAAAAAGATAATTCATTTGAATAAAGCTATAAATAAATTTTATAATAAAATAAATATATCAAGAATAAATTGTTATATAAAATTTTTTAAATTAATGAAAACTAGCAGTAACCCGTTGCTTCGCATAGGGACCAATAAGTTTGTTTAAATAGAAAAATTTAGTATTATAATGTAATATTAAGTAAATTAAAGATGGTTACAGTAGTTTTTTGTTTATAATTAGAAATTTAATATGTTAATAATTAGTTAACAAAAAATAATAAAATAATATGTATTAAATTATATTTACAATAATGTAGCTATTTATATTAATGATTTGACGTTTAAGTGAAGAAAAAAATTCGGATTAATTAAGAAATTGTGAAAAAATAATTATCAATAAATTTTTAGAAGTTAATTTTCGAAAAAATTTTAACATTACTAGGAAACGGAAACCGTTGTAAGTCCAGAGCGAAAGATTTGTACAAAAATCCAAAATCTTTAAAAATTCAATTTGTACAAAAAATCTGGCATCCCTAAAAAATAATAATAAAAAATGAAACATTAAAAACGTTTCTTTAAGGTTAAACAAGTAAGAAAAGCCCTCACAATTTACCTTTAAAAGTCCGGCATGTACAAAAAACCTGTGTTCCTAGATAAAAGAAAATAAAAATGAAACGCTAAAAACGTTTCTTTAAAGCAAAACAAATAAAAAACAACTCACCAGTCCGGTATGTACAAGAAATCCAGAAACCCTAGAAAAAAAATAAGAAAGTCATTTAAAAGAAAAATATACTTACTAAAAAAAAGGTAATCATACTTGTTTATTTTTGATGTAGCACGAAATGTCCAACTACACATTCTGTGCGGACCAATCAGAAATGACGCGTGCGGACAACCGGAAATCGCCACGTGACACTAATTGTCATCGACCTTCGTAAAATTATATAGTCCTTCGCTACGCTCCGGACAATTATAAAAAAGTATGACACCTATTTCTTCACGTCATACAAATAAATCGCATGAAAAAAGTAAAGCGACACACATAAACTGATATTGATTAAGACAAAATTTTGGTTATATATATTTTGACGCGTAAGTATATTGCAAATAAATTACTTAAATTCAATATCTTGGAACAGTAAAAACAATAATAGTGAATATATTATTCCTTTCAACACACATCTTTCTTCAACACTTCAGCTATAATAATTTAATTATTCGGCCATTTACAGTATCAGATTATAAGTAAACGTGTATTGATGTTGTATCCAGCTTGACCATAATAATCTAATCAATCTTTTTTCATCTTGCAATGTCAGCTGCTATTATTATAATAATGTTACATTTAATCTAGTTACGTTTAATCTACACTTATATATTAAAAAAATACGTAAAATACAATGCAACAATTTTGAGTTATAGATAAAATCGAGAAAAAATTTCGGGTCAAAGTTGAACATTTACTTTATTAGCCAGGGTAATTTGGTTTAAAAAACTTTTAAAAAAAAATAAATCACATTTTTTATCGCTAACAGTTAATTGCATGTTTAGCTTGGGAGCATATATAACATGCATTTCTCGTCCTACGATATAATAAGTAACTAACAGATACAATAATTATCACACTTGCAATACCATTGTTTGCTGTTTCACTTATACTATTTGGAGTAAAATCTTTAACCCACTTGAAATTATTTTTATCGCTTACATCAATCATATAAATTTGATTGCTTTGAACAAATTTACCCCCATTATAGAACG